TGAGTTAACAGGACATATTCAAGATGATATTCCTTGGTGTATGCTTTTCGCAAACGATAGTATTGATAGATGAAACTCAGGAAGGGGTAAATGTGATGCTTAACCTTTGGAGAGAAGTGTTGGAATCTAAAGGTCTTCGCCTAAGCCGATCAAAGACAGAATATATGGAATACAAGCGGGATGGATGAAGTGGAAGAGTGCATTCGGCATGTTGTGTGACCGTCGTATGCCACTGAAGCTCAAGGGAAAATTTTATAGGACGACAATAAGGTCGGCGATGCTGTATGGCACAGAATGTTGGGCGGTGAAGCATCAACACATACACAAAATGGGTGTAGCAGAGATGAGGATGCTTCGTTTGAGGTGTGGGCTCACGAGAAAGGATAAGATTAGGAATGAGTGGGTTGGACATGTGCAAAGAAGGCCTACTGACGCTCCAGTTCGAAGATGTGACTACGGGACAGAGGTTCAGGGCCGAAGGGGTAGAGGAAGACCTAGGAAAACTTTGGAAGAGACCCTAAGAAAAGACTTAGGGTACTTGGATCTAACGGAGGACATGACACAAAACCGAGCGCAATGGCGTTCTAGGATTCACATAGCCGACCCCACTTAGTGGGAAAAGGCTTTGTTGTTGTTGTTGTTGTTGTTGTTGTGGGGTTTTGCAGGGCTGCTAATATACTGATTTTGTGGAATTTTTGTTCTTTACAAGGTTTTTTTGGCTGATGAAATACTTTGCCATCATTCTCCAGGTATGATTATGTTTATGTTTTTTCTCTTTCCAAAGATACTGAATATTGAAGGTATCTAAACTTAAATTGGTATTACTTGACAGGAGGCTCTTGCTTATTCTGGAACCTGGAGCGGTCATATGTAGAAGCTACTAGGTTATGCATGCAATGCTCAATCCATTGGTGTATATAAAATGATTAAGGAATGAGATGCATTTTTTTATTCAATGAGGTTGTTACATAGTTGCCGATATTAATTTTATTTTCTACTTGTTAGTGAAGAGGGCAAATTTCAAATGTATTTGTTGAAGTTCCTGCTTTTATTTTTTTTTAAGGTGTTAAGTAGTTTTAATTTCTTTGTGCAGTCTTTGCAAAGTTTTTTTTTCAAAGAGGAATTTCTTCATGATTGGGTATTGCTGTGATGGCGACTAGAGGCTGCTGGTGGCGGAGTACGTGCATCATGATACCCTTGCCAAAGATCTCTTCAACTGTATGTGCCTCCTATATTCAGTTATTCAATGAATTGTATTTTAAACAATTTTTGGCTTTTCTTTTCTGCACAAGATATGAGAACATGTTTGACACATTGCTTGAAATATGAGAAGGAACACTCTTTATTTGAAAGTTACACTGCATTTCAACGAGTACGAAAATAAAATGGTTGCATCCACTGTCTATTTGTAATGTGAAAAGCCATGCAATTGAAACTTTCAAAATTTTCAAACTCGATTTGATGACAATCCTACAAAGATATAATTTTCTCTTCTTTTACATAAGATATTGGGTGTTCATCACTTTAAAGAATGCATTTGTTCTACTTGAGCATAATATTGTCATCTCAAACCACTTTCACAAGGCTGATTTATTATCTACAAATGTGCCATTTTCATTTCAATTTGTGACTCCTATTTTGCTTTTCCCATTCTCATATTCTTGACAAGTGACCACCGAAATATATTGCCTATAGCTATTCAAAGTGCTTCATGTATAAATTCATCTTACACTTTCTTGATAGGGGAGAATCAGACCATTGAGTGGGCTATCCGGCTAAGAGTTGCTCTGAACATTGCTGAAGCATTGGATTACTGCAGTAGTGAAGGCCGCCCATTGTACCATGACTTAAATTCATATATGGTTCTCTTTGATGAGGTGATGTCTCCAATTTCCTTTCCCAAATTTGTTTATTTAGTTATTCAATTTTTACAAGAAGTGTGATAATTTTAATCACATATAATTGTGGACCTTTTTTATAAGTAGACATATTTTGTTCTATGTTAAGACTTTTTATCTGAAAACTATATGGATTTATATGAGATCAAAGTGGTAATTACATGGATGGTGTTGCAGGAATGGCAATCCTCGGCATTCATGTTTTGGATTGATAAAAAACGGAAGGAATGGAAAAAGTTACAACACTAATCTTGCTCACACCTCTTGAATATCTAAGAAATGGTAATTGCCTATTTTCCTTATTCATAATTATTATTTATTATACCATTTTTTATACACCTTGCTGAGGGATAAACTGAATTCTAACTAAGTCAATTATTAAACTTATATGAATAAGGAGTTATATTGTATAATCTGCTGAACATTGTTACAATGCCCTCATCCTGCGAGATTAAGAATACTTGAGAATGATGAGTTGAGATCAATGTACCAATTATTGCTATCATGTGCTTTACACTAAGACTAAATTCTCAGTGCAATTAATAATGTGACTAGAAATTGTTCTGTTCAGCCTTAGGACTGTCCTTTTGGATCTTCTCAATGAAAAACACCTTTCCTGATCATGTTATCTACTACATTTTTCAATCTCGATATCCCCTTAGTTTTGGTCTTTCTTTTGTTTTTCTGCTACTTTCGTGCTGAATTGTTGCTCTTTGAATTGTTTTGAGGATACCCAGTTGCCCAAATTGTTCAAATTTGGTACTTCAGTGAGCTTTTATTTGCATTTTTTGTTTGGTTGTTCTTTGAAATGAATATAATTTGTAAGAGGTATGTTGGCATAACCAAGTTTTTATATTAATTTCTTTCATAATTGTAAAGGAGAGAGAGGTCTGTTGTGTTTGGTGTAAAGTTGATTTTTTGTATTTAAATTATCTAGATGAGCAATCAGGTTTTTCTTTTCTTTTTTTTTTCTTTTTTTGTTGCCAGAGTATTTTTGCATTGTGTGGTTAGGATTTATGTAGAATACTATTTACAATGTGTGCATTTAGTATTGTTAGTATATGTTATAAATAAATAGATGGCACGAATGTTATATGTATATGTTATAAATTTGTATTTACTATATCTAGATGAGGCTGAACCAAAGTGCAAGGCAAAACGTTGGCTTCACTAGAAGAAAGAAAAAATGATCTGCAAAAGGGGCAACTGAAGTGATGGAAATTGGAGACAAAATGAGAAATTGGATGTTTTGTATCACAGTGGACAAGTCGTTACAAGCTAATCATACTGATAATATAAATTGAATTTGTATTTTAGAATTAGCGTTCTTCTTCAAATTCAACTGCTTTGAAAGGTATTTTGAAATTTTATTTTAGAATTAGTATTCTTTTTTATTTATAATGTGTGCATTTAGTATTGCTCTCGAGTACTCATCTTCAACATGTTATGTTTCCAGGGAAGATTCCGCATCTGCTTGAGGAACAGATAGGGCAAGTGCGAAGGATACAAGGAAGCATGTGGAGACAAGCGTAACAGCACACGTGCCGATACATCCATTACTCTGTCAAAAGCAAAAGTATCCCATATCAGCAGGGTGGAACGTACTCTAGATTTGATGGACTTGTTTTGACCCTCAAATTCTTCAGTCGGCCTTATACTCTGGAGGAAACCAGAAAACCCTCCAGCTCAGTTCAAGAATAAGCCTGTGGAAAGTTACTTCTTCAAAAGCAAAAGTATCTCATATCATATCTTCTCATTTTTCTTCTCTTTATCCTTCATGCTGCTGCAAGATGGGGAGAAGGTGAACAATCAGTCGGAGTTCTGATTGCTTACCTTGTCTGTCACCTCTTTCAGCAGACCCCCTAGCTCGGCGACTTGGGGGACTCCTACTACATGGTTTGTATCGCGCTTGACCAAGCCTGAAACTACAAGTAAGCTTCAAGTGAAATTGATACATTACCTTGTGCATCTCCACCAGTTAAAGATACCACCCCTGGATGGAGGAAGAGTATTTCCAGAGAAGATGCCACATCTACCTATGAGACAGATAAGGCAAGTCAAGACGACACCACACTCCGATACTTAGAAGTTTCGTGATTACGAGATCATTCTCCCACAATATTTCCTAATGTCATTTGTACTAAATCATTCACTTGTACTCACTAAAGGAGAGCTTGAACCTATGTACTTGTGTAAACCCTTCACAATTAATGAGAACTCTTCTATTCCGTGGACGTAGCCAATCTGGGTGAACCACGTACATCTTGTGTTTGCTTTCCTATTCTCTATCCATTTATATACTTATCCACACTACTAATGACCGGAGCAATCTAGCGAAGATCACAAAAAGCGACCGTTTTCGCTACCTAGGATCTATCTTGCAAGAGAACGGAGAATTAGATGGAGATCTCAACCATAGAATACGAGCTGGATGGATGAAGTGTAAGAGTGCATCCGGCGTGTTGTGTGACCGTCGTAGGCCACTGAAGCTCAAGAGAAAATTTTATAGGACGGCAATAAGGCCAGCGATGTTTTATGGCACAGAATATTGGGCGGTGAAGCATCAACACGTACACAAAATGGGTGTAGCGGAGATGAGGATGCTTCGTGGGATGTGTGGGCACATGAGAAAGGATAAGATTGGGAATGAGGATATCCGAGGTAAAGTAGGAGTAGCCGAAATTGTAGGAAAGATGAGAGAAAATCGGCTCCGGTGATTTGGACATGTGCAAAGAAGGCCGACTGACGCTCCGGTTCGAAGATGTGACTACGGGACAGAGGTTCAGGGCCGAAGGGGTAGAGGAAGACCTAGGAAAACTTTGGAAGAGACTCTAAGAAAAGACTTAGAGTACTTGGATCTAACGGAGGACATGACACAAAACCGAGCGCAATGGCGTTCTAGGATTCATATAGCCGACCCCACTTAGTGGGAAAAGGCTTTGTTGTTGTTGTTGTTGTTTTATTTATAACAAAAGGTCAATAATTTCCTTCTTACATTCCACATGTATGTAAGTATGGTATTGCCTATTGTTAATGAACAATGAGACATCAATCACATGTGCGTACATAGTACATCTCCGATTAAAACTTATGACATGTGTTATATGATTTTAAAACCCGCAGCAACGCGCGGGCATCGATCGCTAGTAAAACTAACGAAAAGAGCCTTACAATATTTTTACAATTATTTGAGCACAATTGAGCATTATAACTAAAAACCAAATCTCAAACTGAAGACAGTAATTAATCAAGTTACATAACTTGTTGAGGTCAATTAATTTTTTTTTTTTTCCTTTCAGTTTTAAACTGACAGAAAGGAAATACAGAAAAATGGAATTCCCAGATCAGGAAAGTTTCAGTCATCTAAAATCTAAAATTAATGCCCTTCAGCACTGAAGAGCTGAGCCATCCTCTCTCTGCCATGTCCTTTATATTATGCTCACCTTGATATGTCACAAATTGTGGGATAGCCTAACTGCTCAATTTCCCAGCTTAGCTTTGAAGCAACTCTTTCATGGCGTGGAAAATATTCCTGATGAAAAATAAAAAATTATGCAGATCAAGTTTAATTAGTACAAACAAATACAGCAGAACCAAATAATGTTTCTTTATATTTTAAGATTGACAAAAGAGTTGGAAAAACATTTTGATTAATTACCTCCATTTTCTTCACTAACTCCTTGGCAGTAGGAGCAGAAACAATTATGTGGCGGGCTGTTGGACTAATGAAACCTTCCTCTACTGCCTTATCAATAAATGACAGCAAGGAGTTGTAGTACCCATCCACATTCAGCAAACCTACCTGAAAAATAAACATTTTTAATCCACATATTCACCTCATCGCGATTTGAAGAAATGGTGAGAAATAGTTTTCTTTCTTGGCAAATTTATGTTTTCAGACTGTAAAATATAGGATGCAAATTTATTCAAAATCAAACATGACTGATGATAAAAATTCACAATGTTACACAGCTTGTCATGAGAACATTTCTCATGATTCAAAGATGTTCATAAGATCATAAGACCTCAATTTGAGTTACACCATTTTAAGGTGTGATGATTTGAACTAATGGAGTAACTTTAAGTAACAAGGTTATGAATAAATTAACTAGGCACAAACACAAGCCTTACCGGTTTATCATGAATGCCCAGTTGAGCCCATGTTATCACTTCAAGAAGCTCTTCAAGAGTTCCATAGCCACCTTCATACATTCAAAGAAAAAGGAATAAATAAATAAACAAATAAAAAAAATAATCTAAACTACATATTGAAAGAACCCCATTTGTCAACCAAAAACCAATGAAATTACTATTATACCCTTTTATACATAACTAAAAGAAAAAATTGAACATTATAATAATTTCGCACAAACAAATTTTTGTTGGTTTTTTCCTGAACCTCACAGCCATGTCATCTTATCAATACATAAACTCACTCTTTCTCTCTCTCTCTCATTTGCACCCGCCCACGTCCACTTTTTTCCACTTTTTCTAACTTCCCCGATCCACTATTTTTTTTTACATGAATTTAATTTAATTATGTTTAAAATTTTAAAATTACACAAATAGTGTGTGTGTACTGCATCTAGTAATAATAATAAAAACCTGAATCAGTATTTTAATAGTAACACAGTCCAATCTCCTTTTCTTCTTTCCTTTTCTTAACTGAAGTCAAATGGGCTGGCCACTTTGTCCGTAGCTTTTAACTGAATGAGCTGAGTAAACCCAATAAGAGTGAACTTGAGGCCCAGGAAAGGATCCGGCGAGCATCATTTTTCCTAAAAAGATTAATTATTTTAATCTACCTCTTTTAGGCTTTTAGCTTGCTACATGTTATCAATTTAGAGTGCATATGATTAAAATAGGAGTACCGAAATTTTTATTCTGTAACAATAGCGACACGAACTTCTACACAAATCACTCTGGAAAAGGTGCCCAGAGTACCCTTTGAGCAAACGTTTAGTAGTGAGTTTGGATTCTACATGGATTGGAATTAGGATAGGATTGAAAAGAAAGAGTTTTCAGCTCCTAAAATATCCCAAAAAATTAAAGGAAAATAAAGGGAGTACAAGTTGGTTAAAGAGTTAAGGCCAGCGTGAAACTTTTATGTCTTATTTCATGTGCAGGTCACATCTTACCAAGGACCATTTTCATTTGGCATTTGGTTGATTTGGTGAAAGAGTTTATAACTCTTTCTCTCTTTTTCTTATTTTAGTGAATGGATGGGAGAGGGACAGGCTAACGAACTGCTTGTAACCACAGAAAGCAAGAGCTCCCCAAAAGAGGCAGATTCTCTGCCCTCTCACTTCCCGTGCCCTTCTATTTGTGTGGTCACGGTTAAGCCACGTAAACATTTTATATTAGTATTCATTTTTGTCTTATTATCTCTATAAAAAAATAATATAAAATATTGACGTGACTTAACCATGACCATACAAAACAGGATGGCACAGGAAGTGGGAGGGCAGAGAATCTGCCTCCCTCCCCAAAACCCTAATTTTCCAGTTTTCAATAAGAAACAAGTGAGTGAATAGTACTCTTTTTGGTTCGTTTTGTTGATAGGGTTTGAATGGTTACTCTTCGACTATTAGTATTTCATTGCTAAGCATAAATAAATAAATGAATATGCTTGTAGCTTAAGTAGTAGAATTTCTTCCCAAACATTTTAAAACATTATTTTTTACTGGAAAAAGATAGAATAAATATAAAAAAACCATGCTTAAATAAAAGGTTTAATGAGTCTCACTCCAACCCTTGGAGTAAGTCTAAAAAATTAACTTCCAAAACACTCCAACCCTCGGGCCAAAATGGGGTTATGGGTTAAACTCAAGATTGGGGTAAATTTCGGCCAAGATTTGAGTTTGGATAAGTGGGCTGGCCCACATATGCACGTTGCACCACCAAAATCAAGACAGCCTCGCGCTTAACTCGCCTCATGCCTCAACGCGGTGAGGCATTAAAGAGGCAGGGGTCCCACCCACGTGGGTTCTGTTGGCCTTGTTGCTGAGCCAAAAATGGCTCTTTATGTCATGTACGGCCTAGATTAAATGGGCCGTTGAATCATGTTCCCCATTCAAACCATTTTTTTTTAATTTTATATTTATAAATTCATTAAACCCAACGATTGAGATCTAATATGATCAAATTCAACGGTAAAATAAAAAAAATCTAACGGTCCAAATTTAAATCCAACAGATAAAATAAAAAAAAAAATTTACATCTCTATCATATATTTCATATTCTACCATAGTGTTTCATGAGTTTCACGGTGTCGGTTTAGTGATTTTTCATTATTTATCATAATCTAAATATTTTTAGGTTAAAATGTTCATAAAATTAAATTAGAATAGTATACATAATTCTTTCTTTTTTTAAGTAAGTTAAAAAAAATCTAGATTCTTTCTTTAATAATTTGGGGCTAAAAATTTAACCCAAAAGAGGTTAGAGCAGAAAAGTTTTTTCTAGATTAAAACCTAAATTTTCTGAGCTGAAAATTGTAGATGAGATGGTCTGAGTAAATAAAAGCAGTGGACAAAGAGAAGAAAAAAGACTTATGATTTTGGTATTTTTTGTGTCTAAGCAGGCCTGGACTACGGTACACTCGGATTACAAGTTATCAAACCCGCATGAGTTAAAAGTCGTCGGATTTTATTAGTAATTCGTTAATTCTTTATTTATTAATTATTTTGGTGAAGTTGTGTCTTTTCTTTTACTATTTATATTTTAAACTACCGGCAGCTTCCTGCTGCAACGTGGGCCAAAGCCAAACCTCCAGGAGTATGGTTACCTTTGGGCTTATTTGACTGGGGCAAAGCAAAATTTCCAGAGTTGACACTTGACACCAAGCATGCATAATGCATTAACATTTAACAGTACCTTTGCAGGTTTCTAAACCTGTACATATGGTTTACTGCTAAAGGCCACAACTAACACCTTCATCTTTTATGTTTTTTTGCTCAGAGAGATATGGAAGAAGATAGGATGAAACATTTTCTAATTGGGAATTAAAATCTAATAAATGACAAGTGGATCATAAGAGATTACATCCTATCAAATGAGTGTATACAATCATGTATCTCCATTTCTTATTATATGATAACAAAAATACTGACAAGAGATAAGAGATGCAGACGCACTGAAGTGACACAAGGTTTGTCACTAAAGTGAACCCTAAATAGGATTCGTCACTCTTGGAGAATATTCTTTAGCAAAATTTCGGTAAGACTAACTTATTTTCAAATCTTCTTTTCAGCTTCATGTAGGTACCTTTAATTATGCACAATATGGCCCATGTCAACTTAGGTGACTTTTGAAGATATATAATATTCTTGCTGGGAAATAGTTTCTTTCATTTTATAAAACATGTTATTTTATGATCACTTTAAAATTTTACTTTCATATATTCCAAGGGAACTTTGAGCAATCACTATATGTCATATTGTTTGCCTAAGAAAATAGAAGTAAGTTATTAAGGTGTATTAGCATGAAGTATATTTATGCCAGGTTTTATACCGACCGGGTAAGGCAATAAAGGCATCGGAGTGCTTTGCCATCTCTGCCTTCCTTTGGTGCATGTCTGCTACTGCTTTCACTTCCCCCACAGTTTCTCCAGTTATCTGAAAACTCAGTTAATACACACAAATTGGTCTCTAAAAAATGAAAATATTAGGCAGAAAAGCAAGCACAAAGGAACGCTGTGTGTGTGTGTGAGTGAGAGAGAGAGAGAGAGAGAGAGAGAGAGAGTTTTCATGGTGCTGGGCAAAGAGAAGCAATCATGAGTAGTACAGAGTGGTGGGCTCAATCTAATATGACTCAGCAATTCCACACCAGGCAAAAAGAATTGGCGAAATCTTGAGTGCAACAGCCAACGGGGTTTACATTCTTTTGTGCTTATCTTCTCACATAACATATTATGTAAGAGGGGGAGAGAGAAATTTCACAAAACAGATATCCACCAATTTACATCTAAGTTTATGACAAAGAAAGGGAAGGATAATATAAGAAATTAAAGGTGTAAATGGCTGATATTTTTGTTCCATGAAGAATCTGAGTAACTACTAGTGGGATATATAAAGCTAGTAGGAAGGACAAAAATGTTGAAGACCCAAGATTAGCAAGGTGGATCTAGGGATGAATTAAAAACCAATTCCACATGTAAAAGCTGAAAAATTGGAGGACCAATCATATTTCCAAGCTAGAGAGATCCTAGCTGATTCAGTCTTGAATTCCAAAAGTGGCATGTGGGAAAACCAGAATATTAAGATAACAAAGGTGAGGCAGAAATTCATCGTTCATGTAAATGTGGCTACCAAAAGCTACATGAATAATATTCCAAAGTACTCTAATAAAAAGAGAGAAAAAGAAGTAGATAGTTCTATCTCTCTCTCTCTCTCTCTCTCTCTCTCTCTCTCTCTCTCTCTCTCTCTCTCTCTCTCTCTCTCTCTGTGTGTGTATTTTTAGCACAAGTTGTATTGTATGGTCATTTTCATTATACTGTGTTAGAGTAAAATGTCATGGGAAAAAAATAATAGAGAACATACCTCTCTAGGCATGAGTGTCTTGGGAATAACTCTACAAAAACAATAACATGACAAAATGATCAGTTTGAGTTGAAGCCCAAAAGCCAATAATATCAATGAATTAAAGGCAAGGAGGAAGAATTAAGATGCTCACCCAATGACATGTCTACCACCATCATAAACAGCTTGGGAAATCAGCCCCATCAGTCCAACACTCCCTCCTCCATATACTAAATCAATATTCTTTGAAACCTTTTGTATATGAACCAGACAACACCACTCAGTAACCGAAAAAAACTTCGAATTGTTATTTGTGATCCAAAAAAGTCATTCTATACCTTTTTGAGTGGAAAGAGTAAAGATAGAGGTGCATGATGACTATTTAGGAGTACAAACTAATAAAATTCTCATCTAATAGAATTACCCCATTCTATCTCTGTGTGTGCGCGCGTGTGAGAGAGAGAGGTATTGATCAAATAACTACATTTGGTTGTTCCATGAAAGTGGGAAGGATGGATAAAAAATTTCATTGTTGATTCCCAGCCTTCTTTATGTATATAGACGTCCATAGATTGAGAAAAACTAATGGAGCTATCATATGAAGGGTTTCTTTGACAGAGTAAGATACATGAAGCAGAGGCTTGAGGTTGAAAATGGTCAAGAATAATAAGCTTATGTCGATTTAAGGACATCATTTGAAAACATGAACCCATATTATACACACAAACACACACACACACACACACACACATATATATATATATATATGGGTGTGTGTGTGTGTGTTCATGCGTGAATATATTATATATGTATATATAGATATATAAGAACAATGAAGATCAACCTACTTGAATTTCAGCTAGAAAACCCAAAAAATCAACCCAAGTTGAAAAACGAGTAAAAGGTTTAAAAAACAAAAGCCAAATTTAAATAAACAGAAGTATTGTTAGTATTAGTATTAGTATTACCAATTCTTCTCCCAGCTCAATGGCAGCTTCCTTATAACTGCTTTTCTTTCCTGGACTACTTCCACAGAACACACAAATCCTCTTGAATTTTGATTGCTTCATTTCCTTCTCCATCTTTCTCTTAATATCTCTCTCTCTCTCTCTCTCTCTCTCTCTCTCTCTCTCTCTCTCTCTCTCTCTCTCTCTCTCTCTCTCTCTCTCTCTCCTCTCTCTCTCTCTCTCTCTCTAACAGCTTGAGAATTTGGAAGTGGTTTGGTTTGATTTGGTTTCATGGGGCTGTGTTTGCACATATATATAACGGTGTAACAGCATAGGGGCATATATTAGCACGCGCAGTTCCATACTCATTAGTCCGTCCATACCTTTGCGGACCAGAGAGAGTGAGGGGCTTATTTTATCACCCGACTTGTATCCATATCTCTCTTACCCACCAATCAGAATGAGACTATCTTTTGTTATCAATTTTATTATTATAAATGGGGTTTTGTAGTCCAAATAGTCCATGAGATTGTCATAACTCATCATTTTGGTATCTAACAATGAAAATCGATAGGAGTGGTCCCAGAATATGTTCACCCTAAATCATTTTGACCATTCCGTGAAAAATCTGTCAATATCACCATTAAGTGGATTGGTTGATTTGACAAAAACATCCTTAAAAAGATGGTTATGTGGTCGCTTACATGGCAATTTAACGAGAATATTGACAGATTTTTCACGGAAGAACCAAAATAATTTACGGTGGACAAAGTCGGGAACTAGTTATATTGATTTTTATTGTCAGAGACCAAAGTGAAAAATTATGTTAATCTCAGAGACTAGTTTAGCTTAAAAAACCTTATATATGTGGTAAAAGATAATTAGACAAGGCTAGTGTCATGCGACTCGGTTGTAAACTAGAGCTAACTACATTTCACATTTTATATTGGAGGCAATTTTAATATGGGATATTGTGTTTTAATTTTATCATATTTTGCATTATGAGATATTGAAATGATATCAATTTATTTGTTTTAGTCTGATTCACAGTTTGATTCTTCATTTGTGTTTGGTGGCATGTAGTTTGAAGACACGAAATGAATTCACAACTTCACTTTAAGTTAGAAAACAACCTAAAATATGATTTTTGAACTCCAAATTTGAGCAGTAAGTCAGTCTTAACAAAAATTTAGCAACCACATTCGAAGGCTCTCCTCACCAGAAAGACAAGTGTGATTAAAACCAAGAGGTGGAGATAGTTTGAAGATAAGAGAAACATGAAGGGGAAAGAGATCAAGAAGGGTTGCCACACCAGCCCCAAACCGAAAGGCAGTGGTCGACGAAGGGATTTTATTTATTTATTATTGTTATTCTATGTTTTTCTTTCTTAACGAGTAGGGTTTTAAACGTTTACAAGTACTGATCCTTTAGGACTTTAGTTATTATTTCTTGTTGTGAGGTTTGATGAGGGATTACGAAGGTTTAACGCTACAAGTTATATGTAGTATTCATACTAAGAATTAATTCTTTGGGATGATCCTCCACCTTTACCAACTCTTCTATTACTACTTTCAGATTTTTTTGGGTTTTCTTGCTTACAAAGTTTGTCTCACGTTTCCGATGTGTTTTCTTTTGTTCTATCATGTTTTTTTTTTTTTTGGTAGGGATTGTCAACTAAGTATCAATGTATATTTAGGCTACTTTATTAGTAAAGACTGCAGTATAAAACATCAAATAGATGGATTTAAATGACACAATGCAATGCATTTACAGGGGTTGTAAATAATGACTTGAAAGGGAGTCATTTCAAAATCCTTTATTTAGTCACTTTCTAATGCTCATTAAGTGCATTTTCATTCGCTCTATTTAAAGTTTAGTGCATTTGTAACTAACTTAGCCTAATCTCTTAATACTTGAAAATTCCTCTACCAATCACAACATTAGTTTTCTAGGGGTGAAAGTGTTGAGAGTGAATCCCACATCGGAGAAAGAAGAGATTTTGCTTGTGCTTATATGTAGTTGAGCTATTCTCCATATTGTCAATTAGTTTTAGGGTAGAACCTCAACTTTTTTCATAGTATCAGAGCAGGTTGTCCCACGTGTGAAGCCCAACGGCCGGCCACACATACTCCACGTCGTCTGATTTGTGTTGTCCACGTGTTGAGCTTGAAATTCGCCACACGTGAGGGGACATGATGTGAGATTTGTGTGAAGCCCAACGGCCGGCCACACATACTCCACGTCGTTTGATTTGTGTTGTCCACGTGTTGAGCTTGCAATTCGCCACACGTGAGGGGACGTGTTGAGAGTGAATCTCACATTAGGAAAATGAGGGACCTTAGATGTGCTAACAAATAGTTGAATTACTCTTCATATTGCTAATTAATTTTACGGTGAAACATCATCTTTCTTCATAAAGGACTTGTCAATTACATGTTGAAATGTATATGTAATATCTACAAGTATAAGATATGTGTGCACTGCAGCTTCACATGAGAGAGCCATGACCCCATCTTTAGATGTAGCCTCAGCCACCCTCCTACCTAGACAAAGTTGTTGTATGCGTAGGAAACATTTATATTTTACTTGCAAAAAGGAGCAAGATCCCTCCATTTCCCCACATTCTCGCTCTCATCTCGACCAAACATGCTGTCTTATCCTCATCTCTGGCCTACTAAAAACGCTTTGCTTCCTCCTCTCCACTCCAAAAACTCAATTGCTTTTTTACTACTCAAATATTGCTCAGCAACTTTTATGGACTTTTTGTTTGTTTATTTGCTTACATATATATACATAAATTTATATTTTTGATATCCTTCGTCTTAAACTAAGCTCTGTTGTCACTTATAATATATATACACGAACCTCTACGTTTCCGACCTCAAGTTGAAGATAAGGAGACGTATAGAAAACTAAGACAAGAATAGTAGAATTTAGTGGATGTGTGACTAGCTAGTATCCTTCCTCCTAAACTAATCTGTGTTGTCACTTATAATATATATACACGAACCTCTACGTATCCGACCTCAAGTTGAAGATAAGGAGACGTATAGAAAACTAAGACAAGAATAGTAGAATTTAGTGGATGTGTAACTAGCTAGTGTAATTACATGGCTCAACTTTATTGTTCGATCATATGATTAAAGTAGCAACATGCCGACATCCCATGGAATTTCCAACAATTCACTTGGCCGCCACATTAGCTAATTTTATTATGACCTACATGTCACTAAGACAATGATCATGTATTTGATTTAAAAGTTTAGGACTATTAGTCCATATTGGATATGGTCAGGGACCAAGTTAAATCAAATTAGTCCGGACCGGCCTCACTAACATGGGACTACCAGTCCTGAGCTTCAACACGAGATTGCAAAGGAACCCTGCAATCCAGTCTGCAACTTCAGTTCATGCCCCACGAAATCCCGTTGTGTCGATTTGGTTCAACGCTTGAAATTTTGACGCCGTCGACTGCCTTCGACGCTAGAAAGTCCGTGAGAACAAACCCATAAAATTATGATCAACTGGAGCAGAATGCCTATCAAGATTCCGACGGTGGGTTTGTTGCTTCTCCTTCCTCTGCTCATTGAACTGACGGGAAAAAAAATGAAAAGAAATTCAACAAAATAATGGACAGTCTGATATTGTATCATTCACAAATTGAATCAACTAAAGTGAGGGAAGAGAGCGTGGGGTTAGAGAAATGAGTCCGACCAAAAAAGTGTGAATTAAAAATAATAAAATTTTTTTTTTTTTTGTTTTTTCTAATTAAAAGATGATAAAAAATGTTGGATCTCAAAAATAAAAATATTAGGGTGTGTTTGTTTTGTTGTACTTGACTATTTCGGGCTGGACTAATTTTAGAGACTAAGTTGGACTGGCTTATAATAGATTAAGCTGGACTAACTTACTGAGACGTTTGGTGTAGTATCAAATTACAAGCATGATAATAAAAACTAGTTCTTTTTTTTTTCTTGTCCTATTCTAGAACTCTCTCTCTCTCGTGAAACCTCTCTCTTCCCTCTCCCTCTCCCTCTTTTCCCGTCAAACCCCATCTCCCTCTTCTCACGAATCATAAAACATAAAGCCCAAATTTCACAAGTTTCTCACAAATCACAAAATTCCAATACCAAATTTCACAACTTTCTACCAAATTTCACAAGTTTCTCAACGTCTTCCCCACCATTGACGAAAACCCCAACTGGTACTTGGGCATTTGGTACGCTTTTGGTCTCGACTTGCGTCTGGGTCGTGTGCGAATGTGGAGATCGGCATTGAGCTTCTAGTGATGTTGTCTGGTGGTGGTTTGGTGGTTGCAGTTGAGCAAGACGAGGAGAGAGGAAAGAGTGTTGATGATGTTATCTCGCTGGAGAGAGGACATAGATCAAAGAGGGGTCGGAGTAGGAGAGAGGACAGAGAACAAGGAGCAGATGCTAGCAAGAGAGCAGAGACGAAGCCAAGGTCTTAGCTAGTCCCATGGTTTTTTGGGGGACTCATTAAGAACCTCTAGTGACCACCTTAGTTTGGGTGAGTCCCGCCTAATATCATTAACCTTTGTCCCGTGCAATAACAAACATGGGACTGGACTAATAGTTTGTCCAGTCTAGTCGAGTGAGAATTAGTGAGGGCAAACAAACCCCCTATAGTCTATTGCTTAGTCCGACATTACACCAAACACTTCATTATTATTGTATTATTTAGTCCATACCAAGCTAATCTACTATGATCATTGGAGTTAGTCCAGTCCGAACTAATTTGTTGTAACAAATACACTTATATCCATTGTTCTAAAAGTCCTCATCGGGGCTAGGCGGCTGACCACCATCACGATTAATCCATAGGCGTTTAAAAAATAAGAAAGGGCACTTAGACCTGCCTAGGCGCCCACCTAACCCGTTTCGACCTGCTTGCCTAGGTTGTGACTCTTACTTAGACAGAAAATACATAACTTCCATTTTTTTAATAAATTGTAAAAGACTGTTGGATACTTTGATGAACGGTCATTATATGCTTGTTTTCCATGTTTTGAATATGTTCTAATACTATAATTTATGTCATTCTATTTTGCAATTTATATATCCGGATACAATTATGCATTTTTTTTAAGTATAAGTAAATATTTATTTATACATTGTATAATAAATATAATTAAAATTAAAAAATCTCCTAGGCCTCCGTCTAGACGCTTAGGCACTAGATCCTTAACTGCCGCCCCACTAGCACTTAGCACCTTTTAGAACTTTGCTTATATCCCATATAACTGGTGCTTTTAGCAGAAAACACTTCATAGGTATCCATACTAACATGCTGCCATTTTGTTATGTCAAAACCTCCACAAAGGTATTCGACAAATTTAGTTAACATGTAGTCAATC